TCCAAGTCCCTGTGATTTCTGAGATTATGGCCCTTTAAAATACTCAACTTTGTCACGTCTCTTGTGATTAACGTGGGTATTGCAGAGAAGAAACCGATAATGGACATTAAACTCTTGGCTGGGGGAGGGGGAAACCGCCTTTGTTCCTGTTTACCTACAAATAGAACAAAAGTATGTTTGTTTACCTCATTTATACCCCACATTTCTCCCTACCAGGGACTCGAAGCACTTACATCATTCTCCTCTCCTCTATTTTATCCTCACCACAACCTTGTCAGGTAGGTTAGGCTGTCTCAAGGGCACCCAGGAAACTTCCACAGCAGATTGAGATTTGAAACTGGGTCTTTTGGATCCTACTCTGACATTCTAACCACTGTCCTGCACTGGCTCTACTTTTCTAAAATAGGTGATTTTAACTACCCACACACTGATTGGGTCAATATGTGTTCTAGTCAGGAAAAAGAGATTGAGTTTCTAGACACTCTTAATGACTGTGCTATGGAGCAGATGGTCACGGAACCTACCAGGGGAGAGGCGATCCTGGATTTGGTCCTAAGTAACGCCCAAGACCTGGTGAGAGATGTAAAAGTGATTGCACCACTTGGGAACAGTGATCATAATGTTATTGAGTTCAACATTTGTGTAAATAGGGAGTTGCCCAAAAAGACCGACACAACCACTTTTAACTTTAAAAGGGGTAACTTCTCTGATATGAGGGGACATGTGAGGAAGAAACTGAAAGGAAAAGAAGAAAGGGTCAAAACCATTGGGGAAGCTTGGAGACTATTTAAAACTACAATCCTAGAGGCTCAGAAAAAATATATCCCGCGGATTAGGAAAGGCACAAATAGGTATAAGAAAAAGCCTGCATGGTTAACTAACAAAGTAATGGAAGCTGTAAAAGGTAAGAAGGATTCCTTTAAGTGGTGGAAAGCTAGTCTCAGTGATGTTGATAAAAGTGAACACAGTCTGTGGCAATTAAAATGCAAGTCTGTGATTAGGCAGGCAAAAATGGAATGTGCAGAGCATATAGCAAAAAAATATAAAGACCAACAATAAAACTTTATTCAAATACATTAGAAGTAGGAAACCAGCCAGGGAGGCAGTGGGGCCCTTGGATGACCAAGGGGGTAAAAGGAGTACTGAAGGATGATAGGGAAATGGCTGAGAAGCTAAATGCATTTTTTGCCTCTGTCTTCACTGTGGAAGATGAAAATGAAGTTGATGATGCAGAACCACTGATTTCGGGAGCGCTGTTGAGAGACCTGAGTCAGATTGAGGTGATGAGAGAGGAGGTCCTATGACTGATAGACAACTTAAAAACTGATAAATCACCAGGCCCGGATGGCATACATCTGAGAGTTCTAAAAGAACTCAGATATGAACTTGTGGATCTCCTGACAAAAATATGTTCTGCCTCCATTCCTGAGGACTGGAAGGTAGCTAATGTCACTCCCATCTTTAAAAAGGGTTCCAGAGGAGATCTGGGAAATTACAGGCCAGTCAAGCTGACTTCGATACCGGGTAAGTTGGTGGAAACTATTATTAAGGAAAGAATGAATAGACACATAGATGAACAACAACTATTGAGAAAGACTCAGCATGGGTTCTGTAAGGGAAGATCTTGTCTCACTAACCTGTTAGTGTTCTTTGAGGGAGTGAACAAACATGTGGACAAGGGGGACCCAATAGATGTTGTTTACCTTGACTTCCAGAAAGCTTTTCATAAAGTTCTTCATCAAAGGCTCCTAAGTAAGCTCAATAGTCACGGGATAAAAGGACAAGTCCTTTTGTGGATCAAAAACTGGCTGATTAATCGGAAACAGAGAGTGAGTATAAATGGGCAATTTTCTCAGTGGAGGGTGGTAAGCAATGGGGTACCACAGAGATCAGTACTTGGTCCGATGCTTTTTAACTTGTTTATTAATGATTTGGAGTTGGGAGTAAGCAGTGAAGTGGCTAAATTTGCGGATTACACAAAGTTGTTCAGGGTGGTGACAACCAAGGAGGATTGTGAGGCACTCCAAAGAGATCTGTCAAAGATGGGAGAGTGGGTGTCAATGTGGCAAATGGGTTCAATGTGGCCAAGTGCAAAGTGAAGCACATTGGAGCCAAAAATCCTAACTATAAATACATGTTGATGGGGTCTGAACTGGCAGAGACTGATCAAGAGAGAGATCTTGGAGTCGTAGTAGATAACTCAATGAAAATGTCGAGACAGTGTGTGACTGCAATAAAAAAGGCCAACGCTATGCTGGGGATTATTAGGAAGGGGATGGAAAACAAATCAGCCAGTATCATAATGCCCCTGTATAAATCGATGGTACGTCCTCATTTGGAATACTGAGTACAGTTCTGGTCACCACTCCTCAAAAGGGATACTATAGCATTGGAAAAGTGCAGAAAAGGGCAACTAGAATGATAAAAGGGTTGGAACACTTTCCCTATGAAGAAAGGTTAAGGCGCTTAGGGCTCTTTAGCTTGAAAAACAATGGCTGAGGGGTGACATGACTGAGGTTTATAAGATTATGCATGGGATAGAGCAGGTCAAGAAAGTACTTTTCTCCCTTTCTCACAATACAAGAACTTGTGGGCACTCCATGAAATTACTGAGCGGTTGGGTTAGAACAGATAAAAGGAAGTACTTCTTCACCCAAAGAGCGATTAACACATGGAATTCACTGCCACAGGAGGTGGTGGCTGCTACAAGTATGGACAGTTTCAAGAGGGAACTGGATAAAACATATGTAGCAGAGGTCCATCAGTGGCTATTAGCCACAAGGTATACATAGGAACTCACAGGCTGGGGCAGGTGATGCACTGTATTCTTGGTGCTTGGGGGGGGGCAACAGTGGGAGGGCTTCTAGTGTCCTGGCTCCACTGCTGGACCTCCTGATGGCACCTGGTATTTTTGGCCACTGTGTGACAGAGTGTTGGACTAGATGGGCCATTGGCCTGATCCAACATTGGCTTCTCTTATGTTCTATATGTCCTTTCTTGTCCTTTGTAGATGCATAAAGGGTGATCACTTTCAACATCTGACCTTTGTCCTGCATAGCAAAACCAAGCACTATCACTGAAAAAGTTCATTCAACCTCTTATCTCACCAAAAATTTTTTTCCATAACATCTAACAGTGCAGTCCTATATTGAGTTACACCAGTCTTAGTCATTTGAAATCAGTGATAAGTCTGCCTAGGATTACACTGGGAATTTGACCACACACTACCAAAATTATAAGATCCAGTTACCAAGCTGTGTAAGAAAATATTGTGCTTGAAGAGTGGTATATTGCAGCAGCTAAAAACTTCCTATTTCTGTACTTTGGCACAATGGACATGTGGGAAGCCATATCCCCCAAAGACATATAAAACATTATGGTATTTTCCCCTCCAACATCATAGCTGTTTCTCCCATGTGACAATCACAGCCTACGCATGATTCCCTATATCTACTGTGTGAACAGGAAAGGGATGACAGTGCAGTAGGAGGAGGTTCTCTGAAGCTAATCAGTTCCAGATGTGCCTCCAGGATCTGAATGATCCTTAATGCAGAGACACCCTTAGTAAGAAAGTAGGTAGTATCATTTAATTATATTAGGTACCACATGTGGAATATTGTAATACTTTAACGGAGCTTTAGATTATCTACTAGGGTTACCAATCTCAAGGGGCCTGGAGATCTTCCAGAATTAAAACTGATATCCAGAATAAAGAGATCACTTCCCTTGGATGAACTGTTGTTGTTGTTAGGTTATATATAGTTAGGTTTCTCACTGAGATTCAAGATGGATTACATAGTATAAATCAAGTACAAGTAACGAGGTGGGACATTTTGCATAGTTTGTGGAAAGCCAGGATCGCATGAGCCGTCTTAACCTCATCAAAGAGGCAATTCCATAAGGTGGGGGCCGTAACAGTGAATGCACGAGTAGGAGCAATCATCAATTTTGCCCATTAGCAGGATGGTTCCATATAGCAATCCTGACTAATGGCTGTTGAATAAGCAATCCTCCATGAACTTATCTAATCCCCCTTTTATAGTTATTTTAAACACTCTTGTGATAGTGATAACCATACTAAACAAATCTAACATTGTGCAAATACGTGCATCCATTTGTTGGTCCTGAACCTATTGCCAATCCATTTCTTTCTTTTATTATAACAAGTTTTTTTCTCCACCTTTTCCAAACCAGCCCTAAAGTACCATCGTATTCCACCATTTCCCAGGGAGAACGCCTTCAGTCTTCAACAGCTGCAGAAATCTAACTTTTATCACAGCGTCTCCAAGGCAGCAGAATGTGCCATTGGCCTCTAGTGCTGTCGAGTTAATGCCAACAGAGCTTTAACATGCAACCCTTCAATAGGCTTATGGGCCAGTTTACTTTGCTCAGATCAAGATGGGTAGCCTTAGTCTGTCTGTAGCAGCAGAAAAGAGCAAGAGTCCAGTAGCACCTTAAAGACTAGCAAAATTTGTGGCACAGCAGTGACTCAAGGAAGCTCATCCCCTGCCACAAATTTTGTTAGTCTTTAAGGTGCTACCAGACATGCCCTTTTCTACAGCCCCAGCCTTACTGACGGCGGTGGCTTCCTTGATGGAGTCAATTCATGTCATGGTGGGTCTCCCTCTTTCCCCCGCTGTCTTCAACTTCTCCCAGCATCATTGTCTTTTCCAGCGCGTCACGTCTTCTCCTAATGTGACACCAAGGCATGATAGCCTCAGAGGTGTACTCATTTTGGCTTCTCGGGAGAGTTCAAGCTGAAGGCCAGCATTCAGTAACACCGGTCTTCCAGGGAGGCTGGCTGCGCTGCCATTGCAGGAAGCGGCGCGCTCCATTCACCTCCAGCGCTTTTCGGCGCCTTCTGGAGGATTGTCTCTGGCGCCCCGGTTGCCAAGTCGACGGCTGCAGCTGTGTCGCTGCACGCGCTGGGCTGGGCTCGGGCTTGTTCTCTCCCCTCCCCTCTCCCGTTCCCGCTCAGAGCCACGCATCCGCTCCCGCTTGCGACTTGTGCTGTGTGTGTGTGGGAAGTAGGACCGGCCTGGTCCTTCTCTGTCCAGGATGACCAACGTGCTGGAGTACCTGCAGGTGGACAGCTGGTAAGCAGGCGCCCGCTCAGAAACCAGAAGGCAGGAGCGCGGCGGGGTTTGGGGAAGGCGCTCGACTAACAACAATAACACGCCAGGCGAGCGCCGCGTGGCCAGCCGAAGGGGTCTGCTGCGCGGCAGGGTGGGGGGGGGGGGGGGCGGGATTTTTTTTGGGAAGGGAGGAAAAAAAAAAGAAGTGCGGCCGCGCGCGTTTCTGCAGTCCCTCCTCTGCGCGCAGCCCCTGCGAGGGGCGACACACCTAAACAAAGGGCGCCATTGCGCGGGCGCTGAGGCGGGTGAAGGAAGCTGGCACTGAGGGCCAGTGGGCGGGGAGGAGCGACTTCCCTCATCCGCGCAAAGGATGGCTGCTCGGGATGGAGAGGAAGGGTTGCTGGCACGAGAGAAAGACGGCCCTTTCCCTTAGTCCGGGGGAGGGTGGGGGGAGATGGCCGCTCCTGCGACCCTCGTCTGGCCGATTGAGCTCTGACTCGCCAAACCCCAGGAAACGGGGCTGGTCTGTCAGGTGCTCCTCCTGGGCTCGCTTTTTGTTCTGCTACCTCAGCCGAGCAACCACCTGCAGCCAGGAAGCTTTGCTTCTGCTATTTGTGCTCCCAGTCCCCAGGCACAAGCCACTTAGGGTCGCCTTCAGTTCTCTTCCCTGCTCCCTTTTGTGCAGGCTTTCGAACTGACCGTTTCTGTTTTTTGTTTGGGCAGCTTTCTGATAGGCAGAAATGGCACCAGGTGAAACTTTCCCCATCATTGGATGTCTGAGGAAACACACCCACTGGCTGCAGTCACACACACAAAATAATCCACTTTCAGTGCACTTTCCAACTGGATTTTACTGTGTGAACTGGCAAAATCCAGTTGGGAAGTGCATTGAAAGTGGGTGACCGCAGCCACAAAGAGAGCAAAGATGCATACACATTTGGTTTGCAATCAGGAGGAAGGAGTTGAAGTAGCTAAGGGAATGTAGGTATTTATTTTTGGTTATCTGCCCCCCCCCCCAGTGTTTCTAGAAATACCTGGATCCCCTCAAAGTAAGGATAGGGCATGTTCTTTTCCTTGTCTGCAAGCCTTGAAGAGATGTTTGTCTTCTGCAGAAAAGCTGGTGTAACACACACTGTAAGGCGTGTGAGCCATAGCTGTAACAAGGGCAAGTGAGGCACTCGCCTTGGGTGCACAAAGATGAGGGGCACAGAAAAAGCATATAACGATGTACCTTTTAACCAAAATAACTGCTATGAAAGTATAGGGAGCGCAATTTTATATTCTTGCCTCTGGTGCAAAATTAGCTAGTTATAGCTCTGGTGTGAGCTGTACATTCAAATGTTACTCATAGACTTTAGGACAGTGACTTCTCTCAGAATTGACCATCCCACCTGGAACATGGGGACAACATTTAATATTTACAGGGCTAGTGAAAGGCCTTCTGAGATAGTGTACAGAAAGCATTTTAAATATCTGAAATGTATTGCATACATATGGAGGTGACAACCATTCATTATTAGCATAATATTAGAATGCTACAATATCTTCCTTCAGAGAAGTAAGTCTGCAGTTTAAACTCAGCACCTAAACTTTAAGGAAATGTGTCATTAGCAGCACTTTACTAAAATGTCTGCACAAACCAAACCAAAATAAGACACTGAGCTGTTCCCCAGAGCTCTTTGTAGCAAACAGTGGTACACATGGAAAGACAACACCTTTTGGTGCAAGGTTTCACATTCTGTCACAGTTAAGCAGCGAAAACAAGAACTGGTGAGTGTGTGTGTGTGGGCTTTTTTTGCTTGAGAAAGGCAAGAGGCTTTCGTTATGACAAGTCCAGGAAATGGAAGAAAAATATTGATACTAGATGATGATCCAAGATTGAAGCCACTGTTACTCAGAGAAGACACTACAGGGCTAGAAAGGCAAATGATCTGATTTCAGTATAAGGTTGCTTCATGTTTCATGACTTATTTATACCTTGCTCTCCCACCATGAGGATCCAAAGTGGCCGTCCTCCACTTTATCCTTTCAACAACCCTGTGAGGTAGGTTAGGCTGAGAGTATGTGACTGGATCAAGGTTCTTTTGACACTTTTAACTCCTAGAACAGGCTGGCAAGTTTGGAAAATTTAAGAAATAATAACAAATCGTAAGCAGAACAGGCCCCGGAGGAGGCAGAAAAACTAAAGTTTGGAGTGTCCATGTCTTTTGCACAAGATCCATTCAGGCACTGGTTATATGAGATAAGACATTTTTGAAAAATTTAAACAGAGGTATGACCTTTCTCTTTGTTTATAATTCCTTTATTTATTTATTTATTAGATTTTAGCAAGTCTTGCTAGGGTTGCCAAGTCCGTTTCTCTTTGCAGCGGGGGGCTCCCGGACGGCGTCCGAAGCGCGCACTCGCCGCATGCACATCAGCCGGATGTGACGTGATGACGCCGGGCACGCTGGGGGCGGGGCCACAGCCATCTGAGGGGAAAACTGTTTTCCCCTCAGATGGCTGTG